CCAGAGGAGGGACAGTGGTTTGGACATGTCCAGAGGGGGGACAGTGGGTATGTTGGTAGAAGGATGTTAGAAATGCAGCTGCAGGAAAAAGACAAAGAGGAGACACATGGATGCAGTTAGAGAGGACATGGAGGTAGATGGAGTGAGGACAGAGGACAGAGGACACAGAGGACAGAGAGAGATAGAGGACGAGGACTCACTGTGGAGAGAGACCCCTGAAGAGATCAGAGTTGAAAGAAGAATAAAAAAGTTGGTGTTCAGGACGAAAACAATTGAACGCTGACCGGAAAGTTACGGCATAGTGTACGGTGCCCGATTTACGCATGCGCGTTAGTAACCATAAAATGATCATATACTCGCGGAGAAGAAAATAACGAGCAGATCACGTGATCATGTTACCAGCGTGCTTTAAGAGTAACTTCCGGTACCTTCACGGCCTGCTGGCAGCTCCGCAGGAAGTCCTCCATCTTTTCCTCCGTTAGCCGTTAGCTCACTGAAGCTAACGCTCCGGGCCGCCGCTACAGTAACGAACCGTTCGACCGGGACAGGTGGACCTACCGGTCCGCGCGCTGCCACTCTCACCGAGAACCAGAGCGGTCAAACGGAGCAGGCTAGTGAAGTTCCCTCTAACACGGAAGCTTCGAACTCGACAGGGTAGTTATGGTGAAGCAGTGGGCCGGAGCTCGCTTCATGTGACGTCACGATGACGTGTGAACCGCTTCACTGCTTCGTTCAGACCGAGTCAGCTGACTGCTTGGAGGTGACAGGCGGAGTTTCAATCATCTGGTGTGATCCAGTGTATTTAAGATGCTCAAGCCCCGGTTCACATCCCGTTCCACACGTATTATACGTTACGAACAGCTCTTGATTTTATATTCAGACAGTGGTTCATTTGATCCGGATCCCGTCAGAACAAGATCCTGGAACTCTTTCATTTTGACCGCTCGGATCCACCAACTCCGCCACTAAAAGTCCAAAGTCATTGAGCATTTTTATTTTGATTATTTATTAAAAGTACAAGGAGTGGATGTTGTGTCCGCGCCACGCTCCTCCAGCAGGGACACGGACTGTGTCCCGCGGGGAGCGTCTTCATCCTCCTCCAGCTGTGCGCCCTGAGACAGATGTTTTACGCACAGCGTCTCCACACAGCTCTGCAGGACGCGCGCACAACTGCTGTGTCGGAACTCCTGCGCACATTACAGTGCACAACATTTCACATGTAATAAATAAGCTCACAGTAAAAAAAAACGAGTGAAGTGTTTGATGTGGATTACATCACGTATCAAAACAACGGCACTAATTAGTCAAAGTGACCAAAATGTTGAAGAGACAATTGATCTAAAATAAATGGATGGATGGCAGAGAGACTGGAGAACACACAGGACTGAACTCAGCTGAGAAGAGGTCAGGTCGGCGGTGTGTGTGTGTGTGTGTGTGTGTGTGTGTGTGTGTGTGTTAGGACACCTGAGACTGTCCAGCACGTGCATTCATACACAGGCTTGTTAATTGTTGCTCTCTAAAATAGTAATTTCAATTCAACCTTTATTTAAACAGGTTTAACCTTGAGCCTCGTCCAGAGAGACTGTTTTTAACCAGTTTATTCAAATGTTTAACAACCTGTTAAAATACACCAAAATGCAGGACATGGCATCTTTTTTATTCAAATTTTTCTGGGGGAGGACACACGGACCCTATATTTAAATATATATTAATATATACTATATTTCACCACTAGATGTCACTGAAATGAACCTTTTGAATGAATGAACCCAAGTTCAATACAATTGGCAAAGTGGTTCAATACTGCTTCATTGCTTCATGTGGCCATCACTAATGATGATTATTATTATTATTATGAAGCCTTCTGGATGGACGGTGAAACGTTTCAGCACAAAATAAAGAACTGTCCAGATGACCTGACTGAAAATTGTTGGAGTAATGATACTTGAAACGACAACACGCTGCCTTTTTTGGACTGTTTGGTTCAGATGGAGAGAGAGGACAGCCTCAACATTGAAGTTTACAGGAAACCAGCCCACACAGACCAGTATCTTCTGTGTGACTCCCACCATCCACTGGAACACAAACTCTCTGTCATCAGAACTTTACAGCATCGGGCCGAATGTGTCCCCACGAAGACAGAAGGGACAGAAACACGTTCAAGAAGCTCTTCAAACATGTGGATATCCAAACTGGGCTTTTGTCAAGTCAGTGAGGAAATCTACAAAACACACCAATAAACAGAAACTGGAGAACAGACAGAAAAACGTTGGGCATGTTTACATGGACATCAGTAACTGGATCAAACGGCCGTTCAGAATAAGAACGTGTCATGTAAACGCCCCGTTCGGGTTATTTTTTGTTTATTCAGAGTGATCCGATATAATTTGTGATCAGAACCAAACGGGTGGTTTACGCTGATTCATAACCCGATCGGTGCGCATGTAAACATTTGATCTGTTCGTTTTTATCTGATGGTGAAAAAGTGACCTGACTGCACATGTGCAGCTTTGTCATTTCCTCCTGGCTAATGCTAATAACATTAGCATGTCGGGAAGTAAAACTGGTCTGTGAGCGACATCATTTCTACTAGAAACTGAGAACGAGCTCAGGATGATGTGCGTCACCTGCAGCTCAGTCAGGGAGCGCAGCAACGTCTCCACCATCATTTAAACCTGTCCAGGGTCCATTGTGCTGCTCAGCTTTGTTTACGTTCATCCAGGAAGTAGAACTTCTTCTTCTGTGTTTTAAGGAGAGTTTACCACTCTGCACATGTCAGTACTGCTGTCCAGAACAAAGCTGCAGGTAAACACTCGTCATGAACAGATTGAGCCCATGTAAACGACACATTTCAATTATTTCATCTGAAAACATTTCAATCCAGTCAAAAAATGTTGCGCATGTAAACATAGCTACATTGGGTGCACAATGGACGGCACCATGGGTGTCGGGGCCTTTGGCTCTGCTGCTCCTCGTCTGTGGAACAACCTCCCTGACCATCTAAGGATAGCCCAGACTACAGAAAGTTTTCAGAAATGAAGACCTTTTTATTTGAAAGATTTTATAGCGTTTAAATGTGTTTTTAATCCTCCTGTTTTTAGTTTTTCAGTCTGTTTTATTCTGTATTATTATTATTATTAACCAGTAGAACCACTAAAATATGTCCCTTAACAAGTGGAACTAGTAAAATACCGTCTCTCTGTCTCTCTGTATATGTGTGCGTGTATGTGTGTATATATATATATATATATATATATATATATATACACACACAATACTAATTGATGCATCCTTCTATTTCTATGCTGACAACACATTTTAGTGTAGAGTTAGAACAGTTGCAGTCCACTTTCAACATCATCCAGTCTGATTTGTTCCATCTCAAACTTGTCCTAAATGCCAACAAAACCAAAGGGATGCTGTTTTCAACCAGGAAGTTGGTCCCAGCAGTTCTTCCTCTGATTTTATCCTCAAATGGTGTCCCCATTGAGTTTGTTGGTTCCTATAAATATTTGTTTATCTTGGTCGACTCACATCTCTCTTTTAAGCTCCACATTGAAAACTTGGTAAAGAAACTGGAAGTTAAACTGGGTTTGTTTTTCAGAAACAGATCCTGTCTAACTCTGAATGTTAGGAAACACCTTGTTTCTGTGACTTTCCTTCCCTCCATTGATTACGGTGACATTATTTACATGAACGCTCCTACAAGAACCCTGCAGATGTTGGATGCTGCAGATGTTGGATGCTGTCTATCACGGTGCACTAAGATTCATAACTGGCTGTAACTACCGTACCCACCATTGCACCCAGTATTCACTGGTTAACTGGTCACCATTAACTTCACACAGACTCTCTCACTGGTACATTTTCATCTTTAAATCACTTCCTGGTCTGCTGCCTTCATACATCTCCTCCTACATGTCTCTGTGTGAGTGCAGCTACAGCGTGCGCTCTCAGGACATCATTACCTGCAGTGTTCCCTCAGTGAGGACTGAACTAGACAAAAGGACCTTCTCCTACTCCGCTCCTGTTTCCTGGAACATCTTGTAAAAAGACCTGAAGCTCTCGACCTTTGACCTCTCTAAGTGGCTTCATACATCTGATAAGTTCATTACAAAAAACAACGCAGACATGTTCCTGTTTTTAGTATTTTACATTGCTTTAATCATGTAACCGTGTTTAGTTTTTATTTCTTTCATTCATTCTATTTACTTTTTCATTTTACATGCTTTATATGATTGTCTGTTGTTGTCTATACCTCATTTGTGTTCTTTGTTTTAAACAGGTCTCTCTGTAAATGCGTCCTCATGGCTCATTGAGACTAACCTGTAGAAATGAAGGTTGAATGAATGAAAATTACCAAGTGGAACCAGTAAAATTAGAGACGCACCGATCCACTTTTTTTTTACTTCCGATCCGATACCGATACCTAGATCTGAGTATCGGCCGATACCGATCCAGTTCTGATATCATGATCATTGATTTTATACGAGGCTGTAATAATCTGCTCTCAAGTACAACGTGTACAAATATATGCATGCATGTCCAAAAAGGCAACTTGAGCTAAGTTTTATTAATGTTGGATAAGTTTTAAAGTTAGAATTAAATCCTGCTAACACAAAACATGTTTCTTTTTATTCCTAGTTTTAAAGTGGATATTAAAGTGATTAATTTAAGTAATTGTTTAAAGTTGTTTTATATTTTTTAAAATAAGGGGCAGATCTAAGAATTGTTTCTTCTTTCTGAACTCTTTTCATTCAATGTTTTCTTTTTGATGATTTTTTTTTATTTTGTTTCATTTAAATGAATGAATTAAATAAAATGTTAAATGTCTTCAAACACCTGCTAAGTTCATGACATAAACCAACAGACATGTTCCTGTTTTTAGTATTTTACATCACTTTACAATGTAGCTGTTTATGTTTTTAATATATTTAATTTTCAAATCACATGTTTTTTATGATTGTCTCCTGTTGTACTGATAAATATCTCCTGGAGGGTAAACTAGATCTTGACTGCAAGTATCAAACTGTGAAATCCTTTGTTTTCTACAACTGATAGTGGTTGATCATTAATGATGAAGTTTATCAACTTCTCTGTAAACATTAGAGCTCCGTGGTTTCAGCGACGTCTTCTTCTTGTTCAGTCCGAAGCAGGCAGTCTGATCTGGGTCAGCCCCGCTCAGTCTGTCCCTCCTCAGAGACGGGCAGACTGAGCGGGGCAGAGTGGACGCTGCTGGCCGGGGTCGAGTCGCCTCTTTTGGGTTGACCAAAGAGCAGCGCCCCCTGAAGCCCCGGAGCTCGAAGGTCCAACATAAAACTAACTTTACCGTGGTTTAATGTGGCGCTGTGGCTCTGCAGACAGTGCACGTTGTTGTCTTGTTTTGTGGTGTTTAGTGTAAAATACTTCCACACAGCGACATGTTTAGATGAAAAGTTTGTTAGCTGTTAGCCACAGTGCTGCTAACTCAGTCCTCACGTTGTAGCTGCTGCAAACTATGGACTGGATTTCCTGAATGTGAGGCGGGTCTTATTACTCTGGGTCCATGAGACACGTTCAGGAAATCCAGTCCATAGTTTGAAGCCAACGTGCATCATGGATCGGAAATATCGGCAGGTGGATCGGAAAATCCGATACGTAAATTATGCTGGTATCAGAGGCTGATACCGAATCGGATCGGCCCCATCCCTAAGTAAAATATGAACTATTAACCAGTAGAACCAGTGAAATCTGACCCATTAACAAGTGGAACCAGTGAAATTGGAATCACTTAAGAACCAATTTTCTGGTTAGGGTGAGGGAACAGAAGCTTAAAAATCACGACATGAGAAGACTTGTGACCTTTTACTGGCTGGTGAAGGGCCTACTGAGGACCATCACCAACATTATTTATGTATCATAAGCAAAGATCACTCAAGTCTGAGCTCATATTATTCCTTGAAGCATATATTTTTTTCACAATAAGATGCAATAACCAAAACGATAAATAATTTCTGCCTCATGATGGTGAGAGTTTTCACTGTTCTTTGTCTGCAGACTGCACAGACGCCTTTCAAAGGAGGTGAAACCACTTCCAGGAACAGGCCGACCAAAACCGAAGCCCCGCTCTCCTCAGTGCAAAGCTCTGTATGCCTACGATGCTCAAGACACTGATGAGCTCAGTTTCAATGCTGATGACGTCATCGAGATATTATCTGAAGGTAATGTTGGTAATCAGCCAGCAGAGCTGGATTCCACACAGTTACACTCATTTACACTCAGTTACATACAGATACTTACAGTTACACTTAGTTACATACAGTTACTTACCGTTACACTCAGTTACATACAGCTACACTCAGTTACATACAGTTACTT